TTGACAATAATCGGAATAAATGGTCTTCGAAAATTATCTTCAAAAGGCGATACTATAATAATAAAATAAAAGTTATATGAGTAAACCTAAAATGCGATCAAATTTTGTGACAAAAAATGCAGCTGAATCACGAGCACTCAAAACTATGTTATGAGGCAATATAAAAGCTCAAAGAACATGCTAATCAACAGCATAATTACCTTTCCGTGAATACGAATGTGCAAGTTCATCTTGAACGCTTAATTCCCTGCTTGCTTTCACTATGGTCAGGTTGTCTATATCCTCAAGAGATTGGATGCCGGGATAAAAGCCTGCCTTTTTTTTCACAAAATTCGGGATGGATAACCCTGAATTTTTGGATAAATAATATTTATTATTCAAATTTGGCACTATAAACGTGAGAGAAGGCTCTTGGGTGGATTTATTTTGATCATAAGTGGAATTGGATTTGTCTGCACGACCGAGGTGGCTCCGTATAAGGTTGGAGTAACGAGTATGGAGACTTTGGTACTCTTGATTCATTTCCATCTCCTTTTCTTCCAGCCTATCAACTAAAATGGACGGTTAAAAATTAAAAAATACCATGCTCCTTTAAGAGTTCGACCTTAGTTTCAAGTATCCTTGAAGTGGACTCGAGGCCGTTGCGCACTATATCAAACTGCTTGCGATCATCCTCCAATTCATCCTCAATTTTAAGCAATTTCTATACTAATAATACACTGCCAACATGTACCTTTTCCGCGGATTTTCGGGCGCGCTTTTCTTTCTCAAATTGAGAACTTAATTGGCTGTGATCCTCTCTAAGTAGGCTCAAGACCAATTTTAAGTTTTCATGTTCTGTGTACAAGGTATCAAGATGCTCCAGGGCTGAAACAACCAAGGGGACGAGATTCTGAAGGACCTCGTTACCAAACTTCTTGATAAGCCTTTCGAACTCTTTGTAAATATCATTGGCAATTGATTGTACGTTAACAGATACTATGCGTAAATCATCGTTAACGCAGCCATCGACTGCAGAAAAACCCAGCTGAGGTATAAAGGAACTTTCATCCCCAGAGGCCATTGGCGTAGTAGTATGCGGTCTGAGCACGAGTAATGGGGAGCAAGAAATTAAAAATAATGCATTTTTGCAGATATATATTCTTTTATGTTTTAGGTAATATGAGCAACGCTAATAAAAAATACTATTTTAAATGCAAAAATTACTATCGAAAATGAGATCTCAACTATTAATAATGATAATTTGGTATCAATATGAATATCGTTTAAATGATATATTGAGATAAATGCGCCTAGCGCCTCTATCTATTTGCATCTATGTAGCGCTCTATCGGATTTGCATCTTAG